AGTGAGGCTTCCAACCTGGGCCCTCTTGCTCCAAGACCCTGCTCCTAGCCACACACTGCGCTGCCCTCCTAACAAACTGATGTGGAGCAAAGCTCAGGAAGGTGCTGCAAGGTGCACAAGTACCTCAGTGAACAGAGTACAGCAGGAAGACCCTGGGAACAGCAACAGGCTCTGGTGAGAGGAACTGGAAGGCTGAAGAATGGGGGACTAAAGTTGGAAGATGAGCCTTTTAGGTTTCAATGATACTATTCGTTTTTTCAAAAGCCATGCATAAATATTCTATCCATTTAAAAAAGAAAAGTTTACTAATTATGGTCATTGCATTCTTCTTCCCCTTCATAATATGATATAAATAGCAATATGTAAAGGTTTCTGTTGTAAATAGAAACATCTACCATGGTTTTAGTGTGTATGATCATCCGAATGAGAAGAGTATAAGGGGCACGGGAAATTTTGCCAGATTAAATACACATCTGGATGTGGTGGAGCACGACTCTGACTGCAGCACTCTTGGAGCCTGGGGCAGGAGGATCACCAAACATGCCCTTGTCCATTCCATAATGGGCCAGGACGTGACTCAGTATGAAGGCTCTGGTTCAGTCCTCCATCTCTCTCTCTCTCTCTCTCTCTCTCTCTCTCTCTCACACACACACACACACACACCAGTAGACAGAGACAGACAAAAAGGAAAAGAAAGAAAAAGGTTGCATAAGGAGGAGCAGGGTCCACAGGGTGTTTTTAGCAGCAGAAGTCATGTCCATGTGCTGTCAAGGGAGCTGGGTCTTCAAGCGGGCAGTGTACCCACCCTCTGTGTGCAACTCCTGCCCTAAGTGTGTTCACAGCACTGTGATAAAGTCATGACAACTTGTCAAAGATGATGCCCCGATGAAAAATAATTCCTAGAAGCTCTTTTAATTAAACATTCAGCTGTCCACTGGAGCCATTTTTAAATATAAAATGTAGCCCCATGGCCTTTTTTCTCTCTGCCTCTCCCCCTTTTGCAATAGCTCAGGCAATTGAATTCTCACTGGTGATAAAAAAAATTCATAAGACAGGGTACAGCTGGTTATGCCTCTAGCAAGGTGTCAAATTCAGCTTGCACAAAATTAATTGCACCTAATTAAACCAGGGTCATTGGCATTATTGTAAAGTGAGGCTATTTATTAGACAAAGAAAATTTCACAAGTACCAATTTGCTTTTCTTTGAGGTTTATGAAAGAGAAGAATTGCTTACATAATTAAATTTGTTTGCCATTTTAATCTTATTGCTCCTTAAAAGATCCACTTTAAATCTTGCCTTGCGTTTTGAAATTGTGTAACATTTTAGAATACTAGAAGGTAGTCCTTGGAGGACAGCATTAAAAAGGTGCTCTTCCTGCAGCTTACCCAATGACTTTTCAAAAAGTATGAACAAAGAGTTTATAAGCTACAATTCACAATGACATGTATCTGGAGCTACTTATATGGAGGGTTTTTTTTTTATGAATTTAGGGCAGGGTCTACAGGGTCTCACTACGTGGATCAGACTCATAGTGATCCACTTGTTTTCAGCCTCCCAAGAGCTGGGATTACAGGTGCACACCACCACGCCCAGTCTCAATGGCCATTTCCGCCTGCACTGAGGGTGGGGCCAGCACGGCAAGCATGGGATTGAATCCCAGCCATTGTGCTCTACCTAAGCAGGTGCTTTAGTCTGCTGAGCTATCTGGCCAGCCCTATTGGAGAGTTTTCTAAGTAAATTATTACATACATACTTACATACAAGAGATAATATAAAATTTTAAATATATGTTTCATGCTATAAATAGGATGCTTTAGTATGATTCCATTATTGCAAGAAAGATGTAACAGAGAACAAATCTGAAACAGGTTGACCTCTTTCCTCACCCATGCTGGGCAGCTATGAATATTCTGCTTACTTCTTCCAGAAAATTATGCAAAATTATTACTGCTAGAGATAATTCACTTTCCTGAAAAAATGGTGCTGGCCTGACCTCTGATTTTGCCGTGTATTACATATGCAGACTCTCAGGTCCTCTCAGCAAAGCCCCTGTGAATCCTATCTTCAAACTCTCTCCATTCCCTGTTACTGGTCTAAGTGGTAACAGCTCCCTCGGGCTCTCCAGCCCCTGCCTCTGACATTCCTGCCCAGAAATAGAAGGAAGTGGCAGGTGCTTATCATTGTGCTTGCCTTGGCTACTTGCTGAAAGACCTAAAGAATGGAATGAAGTTGGATTTGGGGATGTTGGGATGGTTGAGGGGGAAAAAAAACCCCACAGTAATCATTATTTAAGCCTGCTGCTTGAAATGTTCTCTGGGGAATTTCTATTTTTCATAATACTCATAATGTTGGAGAGAAGGACAGAGCCTAGTCTACATTACATCCCCCCCAATGCATACTTTATAAAGACTGTACTACATTGTATTTATACCTGCATGTTGGCAAATCAAAGTGAGAAAAAGATATAGTCAGAATGTGAAATAGAATGCTGGTGATTTACTTGGCTGATAAAACAAACTGTATAGGAAAGTATTATACTTAGAATAAAAGAAAAAATAATTTTTTAAGAACATGATTAAACCTAGTATTTCTTTGGAATCTTATTTCAAAAATGGGTAATCAACTTTTTATATTTCCTTTTTAAGTTTTTAAAATCTTTTAATTATAATATTTCTTTAAAAATATAGCAAAAATTAGTGTTGCCAGTTTGAGCAAGCTGACTATGCATGGATTAGCACATTTTGAAATTAAAAAAAAAACCTTCCTTTATTTGCTATTTCAGTAGACATCAACTTTTAATTAGTTGAGTTATAAAGTAATATCAAACACTCTTTTACTGTAGTGTTAGGCATGAAATGTCTTTTGGGGGTTACTGTAACCATGGCTTTCATGTAACGCTTTACCACTCTGAAAAAGTGCTCTAGGAGGCAGTATCACCTAGAATTTAAACTTGCAGGCACAGCTTAAATACCAGGCTTGCCAGCCCCTCAGGCCCCTCCAATATCTTATATCTTGAGTATGAAGGTAAGTTTTCCAGATAAATGACATTCTTTAAAAAGCACAAACAGGGTGCCGGGGAGATGGCTCAGTGGAATTAGCGCTTCCCTGGCAAGCGCAAGGGCCTGAGTTCAATCCCCGGTTCCACAAAAATAAATAAATAAATAAATAAAAATAAAAAGCACAAACAGAACTCCATTAGTTTGCCAATGACTCCACTTACTTCAGTAGGCAGGCCCTGCCTTAAAAAATAAGCGCAACATATCAAAATCTATGACTTGGTTGATTAAGCCCCCACCTTTGCTTAAGATTGAATACTGAGCTCTTTAAAGTAGTTAATTGATATAAGGCTACTGGCTCAATTATTTAGCTAACTCAATACACATGCTCTGGAGCATTCTGGAGAGCCATACCAGATAACTCAAGGTGGTGATACCTTCTAAATAGATTCAAAGCTCAATACTTATTAGGGGACTGTAACTCTTTAGAAAAAAGGTTCTAGCAGGGGTAAGACTACTGGTTACACATGGGCAACTGAACTTTCCTAAAGGTTTTCCTCCTACATTATTACTGATGAGAAGGATGACAGTCAACCTTCGCAAATCTGCAGTTTACAAAGATAAAGTGATATTTCTTAGAAACATTTAGTCTCATTAACTACTGTTCTGAGGGGGATCCAAAAAGTCATCATGTTCTCATAGAGGATGAGCTCATCACAGAACACGGAGATGAAAACATCTGAAAGAACAGGATAAAAATAGTTTTCCTTATGGCAAGTCAGTAAGTGTGGCTTGTTAAGAGCTACTGTGAAATACATGTGTTTAGTTATCGCATCTCCAAAGGGGTAAATGACTCAGTGACTTTCAAGCTTTTCTCTGCTGGAAATTTTAGGTGGGCTTTGAGGACTTGCAGAGGAGGGCTGGAGAGAGGCACAAAGGGCAGGTGTGGGAAGGGACAGTGAGGAGAAGGCTGGGAGAGACATCCTCCGTGCAACGATATTCCAGGGATTCCAGTCCTTCTCCTTACGCTCCTGAACTGGAGGACTATTTGGTGTTACATATGGGGTTTCTGCATGGGATTTTATTTGAGAGGATATTTCAGCTTTAAGAATAGACACTGACAGTGTTCCTGAGACTTAGCTATGGCATACTGAAGGCAGGAATTCACTCCTGTGAAATCCCGCTATAATAATATTACAGGAAGAAAGACATGGATTGAAAAAAAAAAAAAAGGAATGAAAGCAGCAAACAAGAGAGTTTGAAAAATGAAATGCAGACACCCGAGAGATATCTGACTTAATGACCTGAGTCTGTAGGTGCCACAGGAGCAGATGGAGAGGGAGCCCGGAGTTTGCACTCTGCAGTGCACTGGAGGCCAGGAATGGAGCCGGGCTGGACACTAGAAAGGCCACCTATGCTGGCTGTCTGCCCTTCCCAAGCATGGCCTGGCAGAATCAGGAACTTTACTGCTTAATCAGAGGGTCTCTGGACTGCAGGTCCACACAGGCGCAGCTGAGGTGGCAAAGATGTGCTTTACTAAAATCTAGAAAATACAGTGCAATTCAACATGCTAAACTTTTAATCATTCCCATGATAAGGTCTTAAAATACTGATAGGCTTCTAACCCTTCAATGTGATCCAGTAGAAAATGTCAAGAAAATATTTGCTCATGTAATGGGATAATTTGAAATTTATATGGAAGGGGCTCATGATATAGCTCAGCAGAATAAGCACCCACTTAGGCAAGTGCAGGGACCGGGGTTCGATCCCCAGTACCATGTACCATGCTGGTCACTGAGACAGGGCATGATGGTGCATGCCTGTAATCTCAGCAGTGGGGAGGCTGAAAATAGGAGAGTCACTAAGTCTGAGCTGCATAGTGAGACCCTGTACCAAACACATTAAATAAATAAAATTTATATGGAAGAATAAAAGAAGAAGATTACATTTTCTCATTTCATTGAAAGCATTAATTTCCTTCCTTTTCTTTTCTTTTTTTTTAATGTCAGATGGGTAATGTGCCGACATTGTAACAAGGTTTGTGGGAGGCACACTTCATGCAGAGGGCATGAACACCCTATCATCACGCTCATGAACCAAAGGTATTTTTCTTTCTTTTCTGAAGAAAAAGTGTAAGGAAAAAAGACTTCTCTGTCCAGATAACAGGATTTATTTTAAAACTATAGCAAATTAAGACTATAGTTTTGGTACAGGGATAGAAATAGTAATAAACCATACAGCATGCACTACTATCAGTGTACAGCATTTACAGGAGTAGTCTATCATACTAGTGAGTAAAGAAAGAGGTTGTCCTGGAAATATAATGGAGGAAAGGTCATTAATAAAGAAAGAGAAGAAATTAGATTTCTATATTATATGAAGAAACCAACTACTGATTGATAATAGGCTTTCAAAAGACCAATACTTTTAGTTCCTGTTAGTAAATCTCATAAATGTTTATTAGATCTTCAGATACAGGAAGATTTCTTATATAAGATATAGACAATACTGACTAGAAAAGAAAGATTTGATAAAGTTCACTATATTTTAAAATGAAAGATTTTTTTTTTTTTAATGCATGTGGTTGTTACAGGGTCTCACTACGTAGCTCAGACTCATAGTGGATCTTCCTGTTTTCAGCCTTCCCAGAGCTGGGGTTACAGGTATGTGCTCTCACACCCGGACTCTGAGGCCGGCACTGGCATGGCATGTGGTACCAGGGGTTGAACCGGTGTGGCTCACCTAAGCTTGCTTAAGCAGGCACTTTAGTCCACTGAGCTGTTTTGTCAGCCCACCAAAAACAAAGGTTTTATAAAGTTAAATGTATTAAAATCAAGAACTTATGGTTATAAACCACACACTAATAAATGGCAGACAAGTTACTACCTGAGAAAAGATATCTACAATACGTATACTACACTAGCACTGTGTCTAAAGGACTTTGATAAAACAGTAGGAAAAGCACCGAGGGCAACAGAAATGTGGTCATGAAATCAAAAAAACAGAAGACAGCAGAAAATACATAGAGCTAGCAAACACAATTAAATACCACGTTATACTTATTCAATGAACAAAAATGTTAAAAGAAATTGGCAAAATCAAGTTCAAGAACGGCTCTGGACCCCCAGACCTCTGAAGTATTGCTGCTGGGACTGTAACTTGCTGCAATGATGTTGGAAAACAGCTGCCATTGTCTACGAAGCCTTAGCATTCATGCATTTTTCTAGTAAATTCACACATGTACACTTCAAGGAGAAATGCTTGCGTATGTACAGCAAGAGACATGTATAAGAATGTTCAGCAGCTTCACTGTTTATGGGAGAAAAATCTTCAAAACAACACAATGTCCACTTGCAAAAAGTGGCTAACCTGTAGTATATTTACTTAGTGAAATATAATGTAGCAGTCAAAACCAAAAAAGGAAGCAATTTTAATTCATGAGAAAAAAATATAATTTCTTAAGTAAGCAGTCTTTTTTACAGAAAATACTGGTATGGGAATAATGTATGTTCTTAGTAATGCAAACAGTAATTATCTGAGCCTAAATCGTGATGTAATTATAAATGGGGAATGGGAGCTGGAATATAGAGATGTTTGAGGGAGAGCTGTGAAAAAAAAAACCCAGATAAATTCTAATTTTCTATGTTTGACAGTCAATAGATGGTTATTTAAAGTAAAAACTAAGAAGATAAACATTTTATTTAGAGATACATATGTAAATAGCAGAAGAGACAGCCAAAGAAAAGTTGCTACTTCTGAAGAGACAAAGGGGCATACACACACACACACACACACCCCACACTCACAAGCTGGACTGCTACCCTTTTCCTGAAAACAATGGTCAGTGTACTTTCACCACTTTCAGTGCCTGGATTTATTTATTTTTTTAAATGGATTTGGTACAGGGTCTCACTACACAACTTGGACTCCTAGTGATCCTCCTGTCTCAGCCTCCCCAGCACTGAGATTGTAGCAGGAGTGCACCACCACACCCGGTCTTTGCAGCCAGCTCAGTGTGTCTGTGTGTGAGGCTGGTGTGGCATGTGACATTGGGGATTGAACACTGGTCCCCGCACTTGCCAAGCAGATGTTTAATCTACTGAGTTATCTTGCTGGCCCTTCTTCTGTCACCCTTTTTCCAGAAGTGCAGCTTGTACCTATAAGGGGTGAATGAACCTTCACACTGAGTTACATCCTCAGCCCTTTTCTGAAACAGGATCTCACTAAGTTGTTAACTTGCCAAGTTGCCCAGGCTGGGGCTGAATTTACAATCCTCCTGTTTCAGTCACTGAGGGTGCTGGCTTACAGGTATGGGCCACTATGCCTAGCCTGAACCTTCACTTTAACAAAATCTCTACGTGCTTCATAAGCATGTCAATGCTTGAGAATCCCTGGTCTGTTTTCTAAGTAAAATTATAATCTAAATAGGTTTTATTAAGAATTTTAAATTATGCAAGTTACCAATAATATTCTGAAAGAAATTATGCTAAGTGGGTGATGTCCTGAAGTAAATTAAGACGAAGAAAATCTCCCTGGAGGACAAGCTGAATAGAGTAACAAACAGCGAGCAAAGTGGAAACTGTGTTTCTCGGTTACTGGCAGTCATTGCAACTAAAGATATCGGGGTGACTCTGGGTGCTCTGGGACTGCTTAATGGGAAACCTGGGGGTCCGCCACATGTCAAAAGCACCAGTCAGTTCGTTTGAGAAGTGTGGCTTGAGTCCACTATCAGTCTGCAAAATCAGTATGGTGGCTAAAGAGAAATGAAATAGGAAGACTTGACCTGAAGCAGCTGGGCAGTGAGCCACGACCAACAACTAATAAACCAGCAGGTGAAGGACAGTCTACAGCTCAGATAAGGGTGGTAGCGCAGTGGAGAAATAACCACTCAAGGAATTAGAGGGTATTTTGTTAGATATATAGCCAGGTGACAAAATCCACTTAGGTACATAGCAGAAAATGAACTCAAAAGAACACTCACCGAGAAGAAAGACTTGGCTTCCCACTTTTGCTACAGCTCGTATAAATTCCTGGGCCATCATCAAAGAAGCTTCCAAGTGCCAACTTCTGTCTGATAGACTCTCTCTCATTTTTCTGTGCCTAAAATTTCAAGGAAATAAAAAAAAAATGCTGATAAGTGGGCAGATAGACCACAACCATAGGCAGCCTAACTTGCTAGGTTTCTTAAAATTGTAACATTAGATGAAAAACAAATAGATGGGCTGCAGCCCATGAGTGTTTGAATTATTAAAAGCTGAAATTCAACCAGTCTCTTTTGGCTCTAATTTCAATTTTCAGAGATCTCTAGTTTAGGTATCAATTGTCCTAGGCCAGGACAGTCAGAACCTGCCTGTACCAACTTACAGTTCTGGGACTATTGTTTCTGTTCAGGAGTTATTCTCATCTCGCCAGGGTTAAAATGTGAGAAGATCTAAGGGTAAAGTCTGGAATAGCTGGAAAATTCAAATTGGGCCCATCTGTTTATATTTTGAAGACAAGTTAGGTTAGCATGCAGAGGGAAAAGATTTGGTAAATTACAGCACTGTGACCATTTGGATGTGCTTATCATACTTGACTTTCCATAAAATCCCAAGAAGAACGCACCTTGCTGAACTTTTAAACCCTTTAAACAACAGGTGAGAGGATCAGAAATGAGTCTCTTAAAAAATAAAATGACTACTACTGTCCTACTACTGCTATTACCACCACCACTGGTACTACTGCTACCAAAACAATAAGTCAAGTACAAAGAGTTAGAAATCCTGGAGCGCCAGGTACATAGCTCAGTAGAATAAGCGCCGGCCTGGCAAGCGCAGGGTCCTGAGTTCAATCCCCGGTACGAGTACCACTTTATGTTCTGAGCGGGGAGTGAAAGACTAGACTGAACAAATTATACAACCCAGATCACGTACATGGCTGCGTGTGGCTAGAAAGGTGTGACAGTGCCTGCATGCCCCCGCAGTGGGCTCCGGAGCCAGCTGTGGCATCGCAGTGTCAGATGAAATATGTAGCCTGCTGAAAAGGCGGCCTGAACAACGGCTTGGCTGTATCCCCCCGTGAAAGACAGTATGCAGAAGGCCACAGCTGCCTGGTTTCATACGGTCGTTAGTCCTCATATGTGGCTGTTAGAATTTAGATCTAATAATTAAAATTAAAAACGGAGTTCCTTAGTCAATCTGGCCTCATGAGGTCACAAGTCACAGGAGGCTAGTGGGCAGCACAGAAGAAAACGTGGTCAGTATGGTACAGCTGGGCCAGTGCTTCCTAGGTGTCAGTTCAATAGGCTGCTTCAGAATGTTCTGCAGCACTCTTAAAAGACTCATTTCCTAAAGATATTTAAATGTTTCAGTAGTTTTGAGAATTTCTAGTTCAATAAAAGCAGACATTTCCTCTTTTCTTTTTTAATGTTTTTTAATCCTTGAGTACTACAAGCATTCAAATATTCAACTGTCACACTTCCTGGTATAACTGCCTGTGCAGGCAGCTTCCATCTGGCACGTACCAAAGGGCCTACGTAGCACCAGGAGCCCGTGTGTGGGTATCTTATAGCCACAGAGTGGTAGGCTGCTTTTATAGACTTCTTACAGATGTGATGCTGTTTCTTTTTCTAGATTAACACAGTACTGAGGTAAAAAATAAATAAATAAATAAATAAATAAATAAATAAATCATGAAATTGTTAAGGGAAGCGGGCATGCCTTTCATTTCTATGACTACTTACAACAGCACTGCTAGGAGATTTAATTAAAGCAAACCATCCTTTCATGCAAAGTTGGTACTTGCGGTAGTCCAGCCCAAGCAGAGACATGTTGCTCGACATCTTTAAGTCAATTTATTTTAATGTCAGTGAACCTGCTTCTCAATCCATGTAATAGGGAAAAAAAAAGTTCTCATCCATGTCCCTTAAGTAGTTGGAAAACTGAACTCCAAACATAAAATTAGTAGATAACATGAGAGGTAATGATTCATGTTAACCTTAGCCTGGGCTTGAAAGGGGCTCTGTCTAAAAAAGACACCTACCCCGGCAGTGCTGGTCAGTGTACCTGGGATCCTGTGACTGCCTTTCTGATTCCTTATCCGCCAGGGCTACAGATAATAGGGAAACCCCAAACAGGTTTTTATTTACACTAATCACAATTATCCTCAAACATTTCATCAACAATTTAAAGAATTCTGTTAGACAAACGCTTTCTCACATCTCTGGATCCCACCAAACTAATCAAGAAAAGCATAAAAATTGTAAATCTCACCTATAATCCTACCATGTAGAGATCACTGCTAACGCTTTAGATTTCCTCTTAATTTCTCATCTTACCTATGGATTTTTTTCACTTTCTAAAGATAACACCATATTCTAATACATTTTGCCATTTTCTCATATCACTTTATAATTTTTAAAATAACAATGGCCTATCATTCTATCGTATGGGGTTCTCTTCTATCCTTAGCCATTTGTGTTAAATTAAAAATAAGGGAGTTGGCACCTTTACACAAATCCCTGCCCACGTGTCCACTGACTTCCTCGGGATAAGTTTCTGAAGTGCAGCTGCCAGATCACTGTGTGTGAACGTTTGCTGAGGCTCGCGACACATGCTGTCACACTGCTCTGGAGAAAAGCTGTTCCCATTCACAGGCCCACCAGCCACATAGGGAGCTGCTTTCACCACGTTCTGGCTGCCAAAGAGCACTTACATTTACGACTTACTGTTGTTTTAAATTTGATAGGACAGAGTGGTATGCTCTTTATTTCAATTTCTTTATTGCTGACAGTAAATATTTAAGTGGTTTTAGCTATTGTACTTTCTTTTCTATGAATTTGTTATCCCTTGTTTTGCTTATTTTTCTATAGAGGCCTGGGAGTTTAAACATTTTTATATTAAGGGTACTTATCCTTTTGAGTTTTATCTGTCCTGTGGTTATGTCAATGGCTTATTTCTTCTGTCATGTCTCGGAAGGCTTCTGTGCTTGGAAGACTTTCCTCAGCTCAAAGATAAAGAGTTTTCATTTGATGTTGGAGGATTAAGTGAGAGAATGTATGTAAATTACTGAGCAGTTCATGTACCTGTTCTTGGTGATGTTAACAGCATGGTAAATGCTGGCATTAAGAATAATCCTATAATAATATCTGCTTTAAAAATGAAGACTCAGAGGATGCAGAAAGGAGTCCTACAGTTAGGTAGCGGAGGTAAGGTTCAAACTCATACTATCTTGTTTCAAATTTTCTGTGATCCTCCACATTAAAAGTAAGGTGTGCAGACTATTAAGAATGGTGGACACCATGTTGGAGATAAAATGTAAGACTGAAGAAATATGGATCTACTTCTTCCCTAAGATAGATGTGATGCTTCTTCAGAAAAGGACAAAGCACTTGATTGCAAAGGATAAATAGTATAGACTAAGAGTAACCACAAATATTTATATACAAATATCTCCTTACCAAAGAAACTCCACTCCTGCTATTTAATCTTTCCTTGAAATAATGTACTTCCTAATGTTTCAATTTAATTATGATCCAGTTGAGTAAAATATAGGTTTTCCTCTTAGAATTCAATAACTGAAAACGACTTTCCTTTCAGTTGCTTGAGTATGTGTGTGTGTGTGTGTGTGTGTGTGTGTGTGTGTGCAGTTTCAAAATTCTTTTTTGCTCTTTAAGAAATTCAATGTGCAGGGTAATTAAGTTTTTTGACCCTGAAAGCCCAGAGATGCTTTACAGCAAGTGCAACTAGGTGAGGAAGAACACAGGCAAAGGCAGAAGCATAGCCCAAGCAACACAGAGCGTATTTCTGCAAGACGCACATCTACTCCTAAACAGCCTTGGGAAATGCTTTCATAAAATAAAATAAAATATCTAAAATTGATATCACTAGCAGAAAGCAACAGAACAACTGGGAGTAGTGGTGAATCTGGAGACAGAAAAGCTATTCAAGATGAAGAGAGTAAAACTTGTGCTTAGAAACTAACCCTTATTCACCTGCAGGCACCTGTCCTGCCCATCATCTGTTGGTGAATTCCCTGTTGCCACTTCCTGTGTTTAAGTGGATGAAGTTCACAATGCCGTCTGAGGGCACCACACAAACAGGATCTCAACACTGAATACTTCTAGGTGCTGAACATCAAAGTCCTGCTTTTTCGGCAGTGCTGCAGGTCCACTGCAATCCCCAAAACTGATAACGAAGGGGCATATAGTAAAAGAAATAAGCAAAATGTTGTGCTTGGGCAGATAATGTCTAGCTCCAAATTTGGTCCCCAAGTCCTTTTCCATAACATTTTCAGAATGCAGTGTGTGCCCAGCCTTGACATACCAGTACAGTTCCTGCATTTTCTTTTTAGGTCGACTTCATGCTTTGGCCCATGTCTTTGCTGGCAGCATTTGGTGCTCCAGTGCCTCTGAAGCAAGGGTCACCTCCTTTAACATTGCCAATACTCATGCAAATTTACAAGTGGAGGATTTTGCCTTCTCTCTGTTTCTACAATTAATTTAAAATAGTGTGTTTTTGTGAGTCCAACATCTGTGGGTCCTCTGGAGTTCTTGGGAACACACTTGGGGAAACAACATCTGTATCTAAACCTAAATGTCATCTAGTGTTCAAGATACAACCACACGTGCTTCTGTCCGACTCCTGTGCAGATGTGGAAACCACACAGCTGGAAAGGGCCTGCTGCATGAAGGGAAGGAGTTCCTTAACCTCTCCTAAGGATGGAAATATGTGAAGAAGCTTGGCTCAGACAATCAGTACCCCAGTCGAAGAAAATAGCACAGATGTACTGTGGGAGTAAGAGCAGATGTACTATTTAGAGAGGGATAGTCTTGGGTTGGACAGCATTCCACTGTGGAAAAGGGGAGTGGGAGAAAGGACAATGTCGCCGCCCAATTTCCTGTCTTTCATCTTTTTCTTGCCTTGAGCTTCCTCTTCTCCCCAGCTTTATTTTCTAGTCCACCAATTCAATTGCTAAATGATTTTAAAATCACTGAATGCACTTCACTTACAATGCTGTCTTAGTATTCAATTCACTGGAAACCTTTTCACATACCATTTCTAGGATCCCTTTTACTGTACTGCTAAGTTGTTACTCATGCAGTGCTTTATAGACTTAAATTT